AAGCCTATGTATAAAAATATATATATATAATCATATATATATATATATATATTTATGAATATATAATATTTATATAATATATATATATATATATTTATATTTATTGTTGTTGATGTCCCCGCTGGGAAGAAGATAACGAAGAAGAGAAATAAAAAGTCAGCCAATACACCGCCAAGTGTATATCTATCATACATGTGTGATAATATATATATATATATATTTATATATATTATATATTATATATTTATATATATGATTATATATATAAATATTATATATTTACTATATGATAATATATATATATATATATATATATTTATATAGGTATCATCATGCCTATCATATGTATTATATATATATGTAGACAGGTATCATCATACATATGATATAAATAAATGAATATATATGTATATACATATATATATATTTATTTATATATGCTTATATATATATATATATATATTACTGAGGGGCTTATATTGAATTCCAGCGCGATGACATTTTTATTAAATATACACAAAAAACTGCAGACAGCCCAAACAAAACCAAAAAAATTTATTTATGATTATAAAATTATTAATTTATTTATTTGCTTTTTAAAGATTAGTCTTTAGCTGTTTTCCTGTCTCTCTTAATAATAACAATAATAAAACTTGTAATACTAATAGTAATACTAATGATAATAATATAATAATAGTAATAATAATAATAATATTAATAATATAATAATAATAAATATAAATAAAAAAATAATTAGAATGATAATAGATGCTGTCTGTCTGCCCGTGTATGGTGTTGCTGCTGCACGCATTAAAACAGCTGACTATACACCGCAGCAATTACTTCATTAATCTTTACAGAACAAATGCAGAAAAAATATATACTTTTACTCGCAGAAGTAGACAAGATGCTGATGTTATTCTATGCATGCCAGCAGCAGCAGCAGCAGCAGCAGCAGCAGCAGCAGCAGCAGCAGCAGCAACTGCAGGATTAGTCTTCAAAAAGTTTATATTGAAATGACGCTTCTTATTTTTATTCATTAAGATATAAATAAAAAAGATAAAAAGAAATAAAACATTTACCACCTATAACCCATTTTAGCTGAGCCCTTCGAGCAGGCAGCAGCAGCAGCAGCGGCTGCTGCTGCTGCTGCTGCCGCTGCTGCTGCTGCTGCTGCTGTAGCAGCCGCAGCTAGGGAGGGTCTCTTCTGCCTTTCACAGAAGAAGAACCGAGGAGGTTTCATTACTCAATTTGCTGATTAAAGCCAGACTTGCTGCAGCAGCAACTGCAGCAGCAACGGCAGCAGCAACTGCAGCAGCAACTGCAGCAGCAACCAAAGCAGGAGCAGCAGCGCGAGGCACACAGCAGCAGCAGCAACGGTGTCAACGACAGCAGCAGCAGCGGCTACTCTTCAGAAGTAGCACGATACAAAGAGGTATAGTACAGAAGCAGCAGCAGCAGCAGCAGCAGCAGCAGCAGCAACGGCAGCAGCAGCAGCTGCTGCTTTTCAAAGCTCAGCCTTGCAGCATATCAAGATGGATGAGAGTTACCGCAACAGACACCGCTTGGCTTGGGAGCAGCGGCGTGCTGCAGAGGCAGCGGAGCGCGAAGCAGCAGCAGCAGCAGCAGCAGCAGCAGCAACACCAGCAGCAAGCGGCGGGGCAGTAGGCCGAGCTGCCTCATGCCCTTCAAGCAGCGGGTCTTCTTCATCAGCTCTAAGTGCGTCTCCTGCTGCACATTCTCTTCAAGACGGTGTGCCTTCGCAGCAGCAGCAGCAGCAGCAGCAGCAGCAGCAGCAGGGCGCAGCAGCGGCAGCAGCAGCAGCAGCAGCAGATATACCTCGCAGCAAGAGCGAAGAGGAGGCTCTGAATGAAGCAGCAGCCCGCCGCCTCTTTGAAGAACTAAATGCAGCAGATGATGTTAGGAGACCTGATGCAGCATACAGCGAGTGCTTGCTGAGTGCAGCAGATACTGCTTGGGGGCCTCCTGAAGGAGAGATCGGAAGAG